AAAGCCCCCCGAGCCCCCTCCCCACCTTGCAGTAGCTGCAGTAGCGGCAGATGGAGCCGGGCCGGTACCGCCCTTCGGCCTCGCCCTCCTCCTCCTCCTCCTCTTCCTCACTCCCTGCATTTCGGGGAGGGGTCGGGGGGGTCACCCCAAACTCCGGGACCCCCCCCAAAAAAAAACCCCCCCAAAAAAATCCCCCCCCCCAAAAAATCCCACCTTCATCTTCATCATCCTCCTCTTCCTCGGAGCTGTCGCCGCCGCCTTCATCTTCCTCACCTTCATCATCGTCACCTTCCTCCTCCTCCTCCTCCTCGGAGCTGGGGTGGGGTGGGTGGCCTTCATCATCCTCCTCCTCATCATCGTCACGGCGGCCTTCATCATCCCCGTGGCCTTCATCGTCGCCGTGGTGACGGCCTTCATCATCGTCGTCATCATCGTCACGGCCGTGGCCTTCCTCCCCCTCGCGGCCTTCGGCGTCACCATGGCGATGGCGCCCGTGGCCTTCACCCTCCTCATCCTCGCCTTCATCGCCGTCACCCTCCTCATCCTCGCGGCCTCCGCGGCCTTCCTCGCCCTGGTGAGGATGATGATGGTGGTCTCCAGGGGAGCCTTCGTCACTCTGAGGATGATGGTGGTGGTCTCCAGGGGAGCCTTCGTCCCTCTGGTGGTGGTGATGATGATGATGAGGATGATGAAGGCTCTGGCCTTCCTCCCCCTCGCCCTCCTCATCCTCCCCTCCGCGGGGGGGTGTCCGGCCTTCCTCCCCTCCGTGATGATGGTGATGGTGGTGGGGATCACTGGGAGAGCCTTCATCCCTGTGAGGATGAGGATGGTGGGGGTCACCAGGGGAGCCTTCATCCCTCTGAGGATGAGGATGATGATGATGGTGGGGGTCTCCATGGGAGCCTTCATCCCTGTGAGGATGATGATGGTGGGGGTCACCAGGGGAGCCTTCATCCCCCTGATGATGAGGATGATGATGGTCTATGTGGGAGCCTTCATCCCTCTGAGGATGATGATGGTCACTGGGGGAGCCTTCCTCCCTCTGAGGGCGATGATGATGATGGTGACCAGGGAAGCCTTCATCCCCCTGAGGATGATGATGAACAGAGTGACCGCTGAGTGACCAGCGAGTGATCAATGAGAGACTGCTGAGTGACCGCTGGGTTATCACAGAGTGACCACGGAGTGACCGCTGGGTGACCACTGGGTGACCGCTGAGTGACCAGTCAGTGACTGCTGGGTGACCGCTGAGTCATCAGAGTGACCGCTGAGTGACCGCTGGGTGACCACAGAGAGACCACTGAATGACCGCCAAGTGACTGCCGAGTGACCGCTGAGTTATCACAGAGTGACCGGCGCCGAGTGACCACTGGGAGTGACCACAGAGAAACCACGGAGAAATCACAGAGTGACCAGTGCTGAGTGACCACTGGGAGTGACCACGGAGTGACCACGGAGTGACCACGGAGTGACCAGTGGCCGAGTGACCGCCGAGTGACCGCTGAGTGACCGCTGGGTGATCAATGAGTGACTGCTGGGTGATGGCCGGGTGACTGCCGAGTGACCGCTGAGTGACCGCTGAGTGACCTGGAGTTACCTGGAGTGACCACGGAGTGACTGCTGAGTGACCACGGAGAGACCGCTGAGTGACCACTGAGTGATCAATGAGTGACCACTGAGTGACCCGGAGTGACCATGGAGAGACCGCTGAGTGACCACGGAGAAACCACAGAGTGACCGGCGCCGAGTGACCACTGGGAGTGACCACAGAGTGACCACGGAGAAATCACGGAGTGACCAGTGCTGAGTGACCTTTGGGAAAGCAATCCTACTGAAAAAATGTCAATAATTTTCGGCTGGTTTTAAATCTGAGCCAACTCACTTGGACAATGCAGCTGCTGGCAGGGAAGTGACCATGGAGTGACCGGTCTGGAGTGACCACGGAGAAACCACGGAGAGACCACGGAGTGACCGGTGCTGAGTGACCACAGAGTGACCACGGAGACACCACGGAGAAACCACAAAGTGACCACGGAGAAACCACGGAGTGACCATGGAGAAACCACGGAGTGACCAGTGCTGAGTGACCACAGAGTGACCAGTCCGGAGTGACCACGGAGTGACCGGTGCTGAGTGACCGCTGGCAGTGACCGGTGCTGTGACCACGGAGTGACCACGGAGTGACCACAGAGTGACCACGGAGAGCCCACGGAGAGACCACGGAGTGACCACAGAGTGACCACAGAGTGACCGCTGGCAGTGGCCGGCGCTGAGTGACCACGGAGTGACCGCAGCAGCTGCGCCCCTCCCCCCCCCGGACACCCCAAAATAGCCGCGGGGTGGGGGAGGGGAGGAGCAAAACTGGGCAGAAAATTCCCCAAAAAATCCAAATTTTGGAGCCATTTTTAGGGGTTTTTTTTTCACATTTGGGGGGGTCCTCAAATCTGGGGGGGGGTCACATTTGGGGGGGTCTTCATTTGGGGGGGGTGACCCCAAATTCTGAGTGATCAATGAGTGACCACTGAGTGACCCGGAGTGACCATGGAGAGACCGCTGAGTGACCGCTGAGTGATCAATGAGTGACCACTGAGTGACCCGGAGTGACCATGGAGAGACCGCTGAGTGACCGCTGAGTGATCAATGAGTGACCACTGAGTGACCCGGAGTGACCATGGAGAGACCGCTGAGTGACCGCTGAGTGATCAATGAGTGACCACTGAGTGACCCGGAGTGACCATGGAGAGACCGCTGAGTGACCGCTGAGTGATCAATGAGTGACCACTGAGTGACCCGGAGTGACCATGGAGAGACCGCTGAGTGACCGCTGAGTGATCAATGAGTGACCACTGAGTGACCCGGAGTGACCATGGAGAGACCGCTGAGTGACCACGGAGAAACCACAGAGTGACCGGCGCCGAGTGACCACTGGGAGTGACCACAGAGAAACCACGGAGAAATCACAGAGTGACCAGTGCTGAGTGACCACTGGGAGTGACCACGGAGTGACCACGGAGTGACCACGGAGTGACCAGTGCTGAGTGATCGCTGAGTGACCAGTCCGGAGTGACCACAGAGTGACCGGCGCTGAGTGACCGCTGGGAGAGCCCACGGAGTGACCACGGAGTGACCACGGAGTGACCGGTGCTGAGTGACCACGGAGAGACCACGGAGTGACCAGTGCTGAGTGACCACGGAGAGACCACGGAGTGACCAGTGCTGAGTGACCACAGAGTGACCACGGAGACACCACGGAGAAACCACAGAGTGACCACGGAGAAACCACAGAGTGACCGGAGCTGAGTGACCACTAGGAGTGACCGCAGAGTGACCACGGAGTGACCACAGAGTGACCGCTGAATGACTAGTCCAGAGTGACCACAGAGTGACCGCTGGCAGTGACCGGTGCTGAGTGACCACGGAGAAACCACGGAGTGACCAGTGCTGAGTGACCACAGAGTGACCAGTCCGGAGTGACCACGGAGTGACCGGTGCTGAGTGACCGCTGGCAGTGACCGGTGCTGTGACCACGGAGTGACCACGGAGTGACCACAGAGTGACCACGGAGAGCCCACGGAGAGACCACGGAGTGACCACAGAGTGACCACAGAGTGACCGCTGGCAGTGGCCGGCGCTGAGTGACCACGGAGTGACCGCAGCAGCTGCGCCCCTCCCCCGCTGAGTGACCAGTCCGGAGTGACCGGTGCTGAGTGACCACAGAGTGACCACAGAGTGACCACGGAGAAACCACGGAGTGACCGGCGCTGAGTGACCACGGAGTGACCGCTGGCAGTGACCGGCGCTGAGTGACCACTGAGTGACTGGGACCCCAAATTATGGGGTGGGACCCGAAATTATGGGGAGGGGGCGCCCATTAAACCCCAAATTACGGGCGGGGACCCCAAATAATGGGGAGGGGGGACCTGGAGCCCCCAATTTCTGGGTCGGGGACCCCTAATTATGGGGTGGGAGCCATGGGGACGCCCAATTATGGGGTGGGACCCCCAAATTGTGGGGTGGGACCCCCAAATTATGGGGAGGGGGGGCATTGAGACCCCAATTTCTGGGTCGGGGACCCCAAATTATGGGGTGGGGGGCCATGGGACCCCCAATTATGGGCGGGGGACCCCCAATTATGGGGCGGGACCCGAAATTATGGGGAGGGGGCGCCCATTAAACCCCAAATTATGGGCAGGGAACGCCCAATGATGGGGTGGGGGGGCCTTGGGACCCCCAATTTAGGGGGTGGGACCCCCAAATATTGGGTGGGGGGGCCATGGGACCCCCAATTATGGGGTGGGACCCCCAAATTATGGGGTGGGACCCCCAAATTATGGGGAGGGGGGGCATTGAGACCCCAATTTCTGGGTCGGGGACCCCAAATTATGGGGTGGGGGGCCATGGGACCCCCAATTATGGGCGGGGGACCCCCAATTATGGGGCGGGACCCGAAATTATGGGGAGGGGGCGCCCATTAAACCCCAAATTATGGGCAGGGAACGCCCAATGATGGGGTGGGGGGGCCTTGGGACCCCCAATTTAGGGGGTGGGACCCCCAAATATTGGGTGGGGGGGCCATGGGACCCCCAATTATGGGGTGGGACCCCCAAATTATGGGGTGAGGTGGCCATGGGACCCCCAGTTATGGGTGGGACCCCCAAATTATGGGATGGGGGCCATGGGGGCCCCCAATTATGGGGAGGGGCGCCCATTAAAACCCAAATTATGAGAGGGGGGAACCCAATTTATGGGCGGGGGGAGCCCTGAGCCCCCAGTTTATGGGTCGGGACCCCCAATTATGGGGTGGGGAGGCCTTGAGACCCCCAATTATGGGGTGGGACCCCCAAATTGTGGGGAGGGGGGGCCTTGAGCCCCCAATTTCTGGGTCGGGGACCCCAAATTATGGGGAGGGGGGGCCATGGAGACCCCCAATTTCTGGGTCGGAGACCCCAAATTATGGGGTGGGACCCCCAAATTATGGGGTGAGGGGGCCATGAGACCCCAAATTATGGGTCGAGGACCCCAATTCCTGGGCCGGGGACCCCAATTATGGGGTGGTGGTGCCTTGAGACCCCAACTCCTGGGCGGGGGACCCCTCCCCAATTCCTCAGGGCCCCCCTGCCCCCCCAGCTCCTGCTCCTGGTGGCGCTGGCGGCGACCCCGGTGGCTTTGGGGACCCGCGGGGACCCCGCGGCCGCGCTGAGCCCCCTGCCCGGGGGGCTCTCGCTGCCCGGGGGAGGGGTCTCGCTGCTGGGGGGGGTCCCGCTGGTTCTGGGCGGGGGTCCCGGCCGCCCCCCGTGCCGGCCCGTGAACGTGACGGTGGCGCTGGAGAAGGACGAGTGTCCCCAGTGCCGCGCTGTCACCGCCACCGCCTGCGGGGGCTTCTGCCGCACGCGGGTACGGGGGGCTGCGGGGGGCTTTGGGAGGATTTTGGGTGGAGTTTGGGGGAATTTGGTTGGGATTTGGGAGGATTTTGGGGGGGTTTGGGGGGAATTGGTGAATTTGGGGGGTTGGAGGGATTTGGTGGTTCTGGGTTTTTTGGGGGTCTTTAGGGCATTATTGGTGTCTGTTTTAGAGGATTATTTGGGGGTCTTTAGGAGATTATTTGTTGTGTGTTTTAGGGGATTATTTGGGATCTTTAGAGGATTATCGGAGTGGGTATTAGGGGATTATTGGTGTCTGTATTAGGGGATTATTTGGGGGGTCTTTAGGGCATTATTTGGGGTCTTTAGGGCATTATTTAGGGAGTTTTAGGGGATTATTTTTTGTCTGTTTTAGGGTATTATTTGGGGGTCTTTAGGGCATTATTGGGCTGTGTATTAGGGCATGATTCGGGGGTCTTTAGGGCATTATTTAGGGGTCTTTAGGGCATTATCAAGGTGTCTGTATTAGGGCATTTTTGGGGTGTGTTTTAGGGCATTATTTAGGGGTCTTTAGGGCATTATTGGTGTCTGCATTAGGGCATTATTTGGGGGTCTTTAGGGCATTATTCGGGGGGCTTTAGGGCATTATTTGGGGGTTTATAGGGCATTATTTGGGTGTGTATTAGGGCATTATTCAAATGTCTTTAGGGCATTATTGGTGTCTGTATTAGGGCATTATTTGGGGGTCTTTAGGGCATTATTCGGGGGGCTTTAGGGCATTATTTGGGGGTTTATAGGGCATTATTTGGGTGTGTATTAGGGCATTATTCAAATGTCTTTAGGGCATTATTGGTGTCTGTATTAGGGCATTATTTGGGGGTCTTTAGGGCATTATTCGGGGGGCTTTAGGGCATTATTTGGGGGTTTATAGGGCATTATTTGGGTGTGTATTAGGGCATTATTCAAATGTCTTTAGGGCATTATTGGTGTCTGTATTAGGGCATTATTTGGGGGTCTTTAGGGCATTATTCGGGGGGCTTTAGGGCATTATTTGGGGGTTTATAGGGCATTATTTGGGTGTGTATTAGGGCATTATTCAAATGTCTTTAGGGCATTATTGGTGTCTGTATTAGGGCATTATTTGGGGGTCTTTAGGGCATTATTCGGGGGGCTTTAGGGCATTATTTGGGGGTTTATAGGGCATTATTTGGGTGTGTATTAGGGCATTATTCAAATGTCTTTAGGGCATTATTGGTGTCTGTATTAGGGCATTATTTGGGGGTCTTTAGGGCATTATTCGGGGGGCTTTAGGGCATTATTTGGGGGTTTATAGGGCATTATTTGGGTGTGTATTAGGGCATTATTCAAATGTCTTTAGGGCATTATTGGTGTCTGTATTAGGGCATTATTTGGGGGTCTTTAGGGCATTATTCGGGGGGCTTTAGGGCATTATTTGGGGGTTTATAGGGCATTATTTGGGTGTGTATTAGGGCATTATTCAAATGTCTTTAGGGCATTATTGGTGTCTGTATTAGGGCATTTGGTGTCTGCATTAGGGCATTATTTGGGGGTCTTTAGGGCATTATTCGGGGGGCTTTAGGGCATTATTTGGGGGTTTATAGGGCATTATTTGGGTGTGTATTAGGGCATTATTCAAATGTCTTTAGGGCATTATTGGTGTCTGTATTAGGGCATTATTTGGGGGTCTTTAGGGGATTATTGGGGTGTGTATTAGGGCATTATTCGGGGGTCTTTAGGGCATTATTTGGGGGTCTTCAGGGCATTATTTGGGGGTCTTTAGGGGATTATTGGGGTGTGTATTAGGGCATTATTCGGGGGTCTTTAGGGCATTATTTGGGGGTCTTCAGGGCATTATTTGGGGGTCTTTAGGCCATTATTGGTGTCCGTATTAGGGCATGATTGGGGGGTCTTTAGGCCATTATTGGTGTCTGTATTAGGGGATTATTCGGGGGTCTTTAGGGCATTTTTGGGGTGGGTTTTAGGGCATTATTCGGGGCTCTTTAGGGCATTATCCAGGTGTCTCCCCCCCTCCAGGAGCCGGTTTACCGCAGCCCCCTGGGCCCCCCCCGCCAGGCCGCCTGCACCTACTCGGGGGTTCGCTACGAGCGCTGGATTTTGGGGGGCTGCCCCCCCGGCACCGACCCCGCTGTCACCGTGCCGGTGGCCCTGGGCTGTCGCTGCGGCCGCTGCCCCATGGCCAGCGCCGACTGCGCCGTCATGGGGCTGGGACCCTCCTTCTGTGGGGCCCCGGGGGGTTTTGGGGGGTCCTGACACCCCCCGACCCCGGGGATGGGACCCCCCACTCCCAATTTATGGGGTAATAAAACCTCCCGGCCGCCAGGGGGCGCTGTGTGTCATTGGGGGGTTTACCATAGAGTGGAGAATCTGCCTTTGGAGGGGGTTTTGGGGGGTCCAGACCTCCCCTACCCCGCGCATGAGACCCCTACCACCTATTAATGGGATTTTGGGGGGGTCCTGACACCCCCCAAGCCCGGGGATGGGACCCCCACCCCCAATTTATGGGGTAATAAAACCTCCCGGCCGCCAGGGGGCGCTGTGTGTCACTGGGCGGGGGGGGGGGTTTACCATAGAGTGGGGATCCTCATAATGGGGGGATTTTGGGGGGTCCTGACACCCCCAACACCTCCTGGGCATGGGACCCCCGCCCCAAATTTGAGGGGGGAAAGGGCAGGAAGTGTGAGGGGGGAAAAGGGCGGGAAACTTGAGGGGGGAAAAGGGAAACGTGAGGGGGGAAAATGGTGGGAAACATGAGGGGGAAAAGGGAGAAAAAACAGAGGAAAAAACCCATGAAATGTGAGGAGAAAAGGCAGGAAGTGTGAGAGGAAAAAGGGCAGAAAATGTGAGGGGGAAAGTGAGAAATGTGAGGGGGAAAAGAGGGGGAAACGTGAGGGGAGAAAAGGGAGAGAAATGTGAGGGGAGAAAGGGCAGAAAATGTGAGGGGGAAAGGGAGGGAAATGTGAGGGGAAAAGGGAAACTTGAGGGGGGAAAGGAAATAAAAACAGAGAAAAAAAGCCAGGAAATGTGAGGAGAAAAGGCAGGAAGTATGAGAGGAAAAAGGGCAGAAATTGTGAGGGGGAAAGTGAGAAATGTGAGGGGGAAAAGAGGGGGAAACGTGAGGGGATAAAAGGGTGGGAAATGTGAAGGGAGAAAAGGGAGGGAAACGTGAGGGGGGAAAGTGAGAAATGTGAGGGGGGAAAGGGAGGGAAACGTGAGGGGAAAAAAGGGTGGGAAATGTGAGGGGACAAAGGGAGGGAAATGTGAGGGGGAAAGGGAGAGAAATGTGAGGGGAAAAGGGAAAGTTGAGGGGGGAAAGGGAGAAAAAAACAGAGAAAAAAAAGCCAGGAAATGTGAGGATAAAAGGCATGAAGTGTAAGAGGACAAAGGACAGAAATTGTGAGGGGAAAAGTGAGAAATGTGAGGGGGAAAAATGATGGGCAACATGAAGGAGAAAAGGGTAAGAAATATGAGGGGGAAAAGAGGAGGAAACAGGGAAAAACGTGAGGGGGAAAGTGTGTGAAGTCTGAGGGGAAAAAGGGTGGGAAATGAGTGGAAAAAAGGCAGGAAGGGTGAGGAAACAGCAGAAAATATGAGGGGGAAAGGAGAGGAAATGTGAGGGGAGAAAAGGGCAGGAAATGTGAGGGGAGAAAAGAGAAATGTGAGAGGGGAAAAGGGAGGAAAACGTGAGGGGGAAAGGGAGGGAAATGTGAGGGGAAAAGAGAGGGAAATGGGAGGGGAAAAAGGGAGGGAAATGTGATATTCTCCTCTCCAATTCCCTCCCCTGTCCCTGCTGAAATCCCACACTCCCCATTCCCAGATCTCCCCCCGTTCCAAGTCACCCCCCATTCTCAAACACCCCCCAAATCCCGGCCCCTCTCCGCTCTTTCCTTCCCCCACTAGACCCCAAACTCCCCCCAAATCTCAGGCGTCCCTCAATCCCAAATCCCAGATTTTTTTACTCTGTGGACCAAGTGCAAGAACTTCTAATTTTATTGAGCAAAGCGAAAAGGGAGCGAGGAAGGTCTGTGGGGAGGGACCCAAAGTGGGAGTTGGTGGTGGCTGGGACACCCCAACCCTGGGGTGTCCATGAGGGTCCAGGGGTGTCCAGAAGGTCCTGGTGGTTTCTCTGAGGTTCTTCTGGTGCTTGCAAGGTTCTGCTGAAGGTTCCTGTGGGGTGTTAAGGGTTCTAGAGGTGTCTGTGGGGTTCTGGCAGTGCCTGTGGGGTTCTGGCGGTGCCTGTGGGGTTCTGGAGGTGCCAGCGGGGTTCTGGAGGTGCCTGTGGGGTTCTAGAGGATCCCACAGGGGTCGTTTCCAGTGCTACCAAAGCCTTATCCAATCTTGCAGCTCCACCTCAAGGTGGGGACTCGGGTTGTGGGACAAGGTGGCCTTCACGAGGTAGGAGCCGGAGATCAGCCTGACAGTCGCCCTGCCTTGGCCAGAGAGCTCACGGTTGGTCTCGGCAGCTCCGTCGGAGTCAGGACAATCCTTCAGAACCAGCATGCGTTCAAAGGCTTGATCCAAATGTTCCGGGTCGGGCTTGTCCGGCCACAGCTCCAGCTGCAGGCTGCTGAGGTAATCATCCGACTCCTGAGATGAGATGTGGACAGCGATGGCCAAGATGAAGACCTCGGCATCGTAGATCACGAGCTGCTTGATGTCCCGAGATTTTGGGTCACTGGAAATCTGGCAGGAGTCAGACAAGAAAGGGAGCAACTCCGGCTTGAGCTGGAGCGACGTGCAGAATCTCGTTTGAAACCTGGGGGAGAAAAGGAGGGGTTGGGATCAGTGTGAGGCGGGGTGGAGCCACTGGGAGGTGCTGGGAGCACTGGGAGATGATCCCAGACCCTGGAGATGATCCCAGACCCTGGAGATAATCCCAAGCCCTGGAGATGATCCCAGACCCTGGGGATGATCCCAAGCCCTGGAGATGATCCCAAGCCCTGGAGATGATCCCAAACCCCTGGAGATCATCCCAAGCCCAGGAGATGATCCCAGACCCTGGGGATGATCCCAAGCTCCTTGGGATGATCCCAGACCCAGGAGATGATCCCAGCCCCTGGAGATGATCCCAGCCCCTGGAGATGATCCCAAACCCTGGAGATGATCCCAACACCTGGAGATGATCCCAAGCCCTGGAGATGATCCTGACCCTGGAGATGATCCCAAACCCCTGGAGATGATCCCAAACCCTGGAGATGATCCTGACCCTGGAGATGATCCCAAACCCTGGAGATGATCCCAGCCCAGGATGAAGATCCCACCCAGAGCTGCCCCTCCCTGCACCCCGAGGGTCCCTCTGATGTCCCCCCAGCCTCACCTGAGGTACGTCAGGGTGGTGTCCCGGGTGCTGTTCATGATCCGGAACTTCAGAGAATTCTGGCTCTGCCCTTCTGCCATTTTCTCAGCTCTGGGATTTCTTCCTGATGTGAGAAACGGCTGCTTACTTTAAAAAAAAATGTAAAAGTTTGATTCAACCTTAACAAAAACACAACGCAAGGACTAAATAAGGAAAACCAGCGCTGGAAGCCGCCACCATTGCTGCCTTCCACGTGGCAGGGCTGTCACAAGTTGGAGGTGCTGTTCTCCTGGGCTCAAATTTGGGGGAGGTGACCCCAAATTTAGGGTTTTCTTTAAAGGTGGGGGTCAGAAATTGGATGCTCTGAGCTAAAAACAGCCCGGGGGGGAGGGGTGGGCACCCCAAAAAATAGGGGGAGAGGGGGCGCCAATGACAATTTGGGGGGGGGGAATAAAGGGGAGACCTCTCCCCCCCAAAGTGGAGCCAGTCCCGCAGCACCATGGCGGGCGGGTGCAGGTGAAGGGGGACCCCAAATTATTGGGGAGGATCCCCAATTTGGGGCGGCGGCCATTCAAACCCAAATCATGGACAGGGGGGCTCCCAATTATGCGCCGGGGAGGCCCCAAATTATGGGGCGGAGGGTTCCCCAAATATTGGGCGGGGACCCCAATTATGGGAGGGGGCGTGCGGGTGTGGGAATCCTTAAAATCAGAGGGTTTTGGGAAAGCTGCAGAAGGCGGGGAACAGAAAGCAGAACTTGGAGCTGAGCAGCAGCCTTAAGATTTGTCAGAAGTAGAAAAGAAAGGACAAATCAAACAGTGGTCTGTGTGTTGACGCTTGGCTAGAATAACTCTCGATGCTACAGAAAATATCTAGAGATATTAAAAAGTTGATAAACTGGAAAAATTTACAATCTAGTCTCTCTCAAAAAGGAAGAGACTTTAGTTAAAGTGAATGCCTGTCTCCAGAGCTTTAATGGAGAGCTTTAAACGGAATGATCCTAACAGAAGCTTTATCGAGCACCGAATACCTGGTTCTGAGACTTCAGTTCCGAGTGCTGCTGGGTCTCCGTCCTCTCCTGAGGGGATCTGGGCTCTTGCTCGGCGTGTCCCAGGCAGTGTGAACAGCACTTTCCCTGGTCCCGGCAATTCCTCAGGCAAGTATTAACAACGCCCTGATTTCAAAAGGAAGTTGAGTCACATCATCTTCGAGCTTCGGTCGTCTCCTCCGTTTCTCCTTGATGCTGCGACCGGGAATCCTCCCATCCACCCCTGGGGTGGGATTTTCGGCGTGTTGCCAGAATTTGGGGGGCTCAGCAGTCATGTTCTGGGGAGGACGGGGGTCGAACGGGCGCGGGAGGTGAGAATTTGGGTTGGTGGAGCTTTGCAAAACCACAGTGGTTCTTCTGTGCCTTCTTTTCCACCTTTGGGTGACATGGCTGGAGCTTGTTCTGAGGCCGTGCTGGGGGTCTGCCATGGGATTCCTCCGTTGTAGGGATTCCTTCTCCAAGCTTCTTTCAGATTCCTTCCGATTTTGGGGACCCCCTCACCCCAAATCTCGAGCCAACACTCAGTCAGAATCTCCCCCAGATTTTGGGGTGCCCCTTCTTCCCCCCAGTTTATCCTCCATCCTTCAGATTCCTCTCCCAAAGCTCTTTCAGATTCCAGTCCAGGTATCTCTTTCTGGGCAAAATAAGCCCAAAAAAGGACCCACGTTAACAGAGGATTAACCCTTAAAAACAATAACCTGTTGCACATTCATACACCGCATACATGATGCATAAATTCCATTCAAACAAAGGATTCTGTCTGGTCCGTGTCAACTCTTCCTCTGAATCCTGACGGCCTCTTCATGGCTGAGCAAGGTGGGAAGAAGTTTGTTTCTTCTGATAATGGGGCAATAAATTCTCTTTCTCTGAAAGATTTCGGTGTCCTGTGGCTGCTGTCTGTACCTCATTCCTCTCTTTTAAAAAAGTATTTTACGTAGCACAGCTTCTATTTTAACATCATGTTATAACCTAAAACTGTGTTTAACACACTACTTGAGAAAATTAATACAGCGTAACTTCCTAACACGACACATACAGTATTCATTTTAATATTTGTGAAAAGCCAATCGTAAAACACAATTTAGAAGCCTTGAAGCCTGATTAATTCACTGCTGGGGGGGGGAAAGCATGCTGAGATCACAGCTTGGAGCAGAACTTGGAACAATTCAGTGTGAAGGGGACCCCCTCACCCCAAATCTCGAGCCAACACTCGGTCAGGACCTCCCCCAGATTTTGGGGCGCCCCTTCTTTCCCCCCGTTATTCCTGCATCCTTCAGATTCCTCTCCCAAGCCTCTTTCAGATTCCTCCTCCAAGCCTCTTTCGGATTCCTTCCGATTTTGAGGACCCCCTCACCCCAAATCTCGAGGATCTCCCCCAGATTTTGGGGTGCCCCTGCTTCCCCCCAGTTTATCCTCCATCCTTCAGATTCCTCTCCCAAGCCTCTTTCGGATTCCTTCCGATTTTGAGGACCCCCTCACCCCAAATCTCGAGGATCTCCCCCAGATTTTGGGGTGCCCCTGCTTCCCCCCAGTTTATCCTCCATCCTTCAGATTCCTCTCCCAAGCCTCTTTCGGATTCCTTCCGATTTTGAGGACCCCCTCACCCCAAATCTCGAGGATCTCCCCCAGATTTTGGGGTGCCCCTGCTTCCCCCCAGTTTATCCTCCATCCTTCAGATTCCTCTCCCAAGCCTCTTTCAGATTCCTCCTCCAAGCCTCTTCAGGATTCCTTCCGATTTTGGGGACCCCCTCACCCCAAATCTCGAGGATCTCCCCCAGATTTTGGGGTGCCCCTTCTTCCCCCCAGTTTATCCTCCATCCTTCAGATTCCTCCTCCAAGCCTCTTCAGGATTCCTTCCGATTTTGGGGACCCCCTCACCCCAAATCTCGAGGATCTCCCCCAGATTTTGGGGTGCCCCTTCTTCCCCCCAGTTTATCCTCCATCCTTCCGATTCCTCCCCCAAGCCTCTTTCGGATTCCTTCCGATTTTGAGGACCCCCTCGCCCCAAATCTCGAGCCAACACTCAGTCAGAATCTCCCCCAGATTTTGGGGCGCCCCTTCTTTCCCCCCGTTATTCCTGCATCCTTCAGATTCCTCTCCCAAGCCTCTTTCGGATTCCTTCCGATTTTGAGGAGCCCCTCACCCCAAATCTCGAGCCAACACTCAGTCAGAATCTCCCCCAGATTTTGGGGCGCCCCTTCTTTCCCCCCGTTATTCCTGCATCCTTCAGATTCCTCCCCCAAGCCTCCACTGGGCCTTGAAGGTGGCCCGTGTGGCCCTGGAATTCTGGCTCCTGTTTCCCCCGGCAGGTTCCCCCTGGAGCGTTATAAAACACAGGGGAGCACTCGGGGCCCAGGGTAACTTTATTTGATGGTAAACTTCCCCTTTTCTTCTCTCGGGGGGAAAGGGTGCTTATATTTGGGGCACATTCCAGGGGAGGGCACAATCTTTAACAAATCAGGAGGATTGGGGGTAAAAAACGAGGTGAACCAATAAAATTCCGAGGGAGAAGAACAGTTTCGGTAAACTGCTAAAGTTTGGAGAAATAGAAACTAGAAACTAACTGACGAAAAAGATTGCAAAAATTCTGGGAAAAGGCGGGGACCAAAAAAAAAAAAAAAAAAAAAAAAAAAAAAACACAAAAAAAAACAAAATAACAAAAAAAAAA